CGACACATTTCAACCTTTATGATTTATTTTCGTTTTATTAAAATGACAATATCACATGAAAAGCATCCTTTCATGTAGCAGAAACATAACAATGCGGAACAGGGACGTCGCGTGAGTTTTGAGAGCGGTAAATCGTCGGAATAAAAAGTTTAACAGAAAACCTGTCCTGGGCCACTCTGTGATCCCAGTCCCGGGCCGCTTAGCCATCCCAATCCGCCCCTGATGATCCTTCTTGATTATATTACGTACTGTTGCCTGGGGCAAATGGAAGACTTTTGCTTCTACCTTTGTATTCGTGGAATCATATTTGTTACTGATTGAAATAAATTAAGCTTGGAATTATTAGTCTAAAGCATTTCAATTTATTGTCTTTCATCCAACACTGATATTTCCTTTCTAATTTTTGAAATAAAAATAGGATATTAAAAGGACAAACTATTAACTAGTTAGTTTACAATGGATCTTTTTCAAAGAACACTAGTGCATAGATTAAAACTTATCCATCATATACTTTTCATGTACAATAAAACATCGTTAATCCAAATACATTTGTAACAAACTAATTTGTCCAGGTTATTGAGACATCTGAATGGTTGAATCAGTTATTTTGAATTCAGTGGATGCTATTAATAGCATCTATTATCAGTCAATAAATGTAAGGGTTCAAACTAGTAAGGGTTGGCATACAATGGTAAACAAAAAGCATTTGTATATATGATAAACATATTACTTTATTATTCCATACATCATTGATAATTACAAAAATTGCACAATCAAGGTGCTATTTTATTTTAACATAAAACATTTTGTTTACAGAATACAAAATACACAGTACTGGTCAAATATACAATAAATCACTTTACAAAGGAGGATGTAATCACAGTGTACTTTTGAACTGAAATATTTACATTTTAAGCTTTTCAGCAGCTTTGAGCAAATAACACATTATGTCATCATCTTCACATAAATCACTATTTTGTTCAAAACAAGTGATGATGTCTTTAAGGCTAGATTGTGCTTTGTTCAGATTGACTGGCTCGACCGGTAATTTATGTTTAATGTCAGATTCACTTTCACCACACTCTTCAAGAGACATGAGATAAATGTAGTCTTCATTTGACAACTCTTGGCAAGTTGGTTCTGTTGAGTTGAAGAGGAGCCACTGTTCAGCTGACATGGCATCCTTACCACTCAAGATTAAGGTATACGAGCAGTCTTACCAATGATTTCTGGTATCCCAACAGTTTACTCTGTTCAGGCTGTGGCAAAATCTTGACTTGCTTAAAGCAGTTTTTGAAACTTTTCCATAGTAACACTGGACCAGGTGAAACTTATCATTTGTAAAGCCTCGTGGGCATTTACAGTTTGTGGATTGTTTGTTCAGCACATTCTAATCAGATGATGATGGTAGTAAGCTTTGCTGAACTGATTATGCCAGCATCCATATCATTGACTTGTTGTTTGGTGGCAAGTTGTACAGTGTTACCACTAGACAGTTCTTGATCTGGTGCAGCATGGCTAGCAGTATTGTCCACAAGAAGAATGATATTTCTCTTCTTTGAGTGCATCCTTTGGTTCACATCGTCAAGCCACTTTGAGAACAGGGATGACTTCATCTGGGCTTTTGTATCCTACCTATACTTTGCATGGACAGCAGAGTTGAAATCATTTCCAAAGCATCATGGTTGCCATCAAAAATAGCTGCAACTTGTTGCTATCACTTACATCAGCACACAAAGCAACTGTTAAATGAAAAAATTTGTGTAGCCTGAACTGGTGGATTTGCTTAAGAATAATTAAGTCACAAACTTTAGAATAAACCAATCTCAACTGTACAGTACATATCTGCCAATTCATAATTGCCAGAACCTTTCGTAGATCTTCTCTACCTGCAGCAATCGCATTTTAACATTGTTTTTCTTTTTTCCAAAGTGGCCTTTGAAACATTGCAGCTATCCTCTGGAGTATCCAATCTCTGTTAAACCAAGCTGTTATCCTAGTTGATTTAGCTTTTTAATTAAACATTTCATCATCATCATCAACATGCATTTCTTGATATAACATCACACACACATCAAAAGATACAGAGCTTTCTCCATTTTTGCATGCTTTGAATGTATTGCTCTTGTTTGTTGATCTAAATCTCCTGAAATATTTATCCATTTTTATTTACTGCAAAGAATGTCAGATATGGTTGGCTTGCCCATGAGAACATTTCTTTCTACACTTGCAGGCCTTGATTCCATCAAGGCTTGCATATGGATTTGCATTCTTGTACAAACAAACATCACATTTTTAATGATGCTGATATTCCTGTGCATCAGTTTGGAGCACCATGGTAGCATCAATCACTATTTGTTATAGTTTATATGTGCTTCCCTACTTTGAAGATTGTTTTCAGAAAAATTGTAATAACTGTTGTCCACTAGTTAGTGCAGTTGTTTTGTAGTCAGTGATTATCACCTTGTTTCCTGTTCTGATCAACCCCTATTTGACTCTCGTGGAGTCAAGTATGGATTACAGAACCATGAATCAATTGCCATAATGATTTCTCATTATCATGTTTTATTAATTCAGGGTTTTTCAGCTTAATCAACTATTGTCATGACTCTTGAAGATAACTGACTGTAGTTGGTTCAACTAGAATGATGAAATGGAAAAATTAAATAAATAACTTTATTGTTAAACAAAATGAAAGAACAAATATACGTATATAAATTTTCAAATTAAATAAACAGAAAATAAACTATGTAAAAAAACAAATGAACTTAACTATACCTATGTTGTAAGAAGCCCACAGTTAAAAAAAAAAAAGTTATAAATTAATATACTCACAGTTTCTGATGTTATTTCTTTCTGACAACTGCAAAACCAAGATACCTCGAACAGAGGCTTGATATTTATTTATCACAATGAGGTTCCAAAAGCATTCCACCAGTCTATATGTTCTGACATAAAGTAATATAAATATTTTTAAATAGCATCTATGTGAAAAACCACAACCATAAAACTTTATTTAGTATATGTATAATTCTTTAGATTATAAAGTTCTTGAAGTCTTATTGTGAAGTACTGCTTTGAAAAATCTAAAAATACCTCATTTTATCTATAACTTTTTTTATTACGTATCAGAAATTTCATTTTGTATATCTGATCAGTTGTCAGTTATTCGATATTCATTAAAATATTTATTTGACAATTTATTTTGCTGATTGAAGAAAGTATATTTCCTCTACAAATCATACAAATATGGCAATGCTGAAAACATGTATCGGTGACAAATGACCCCCACCTTATTTGGTATTGTAGCATGATATTTTGAAAATATTTTTGATCAAAATCAAATTATACCTAACTATAGCTAGTTTTATACTATAGAAATAAGAAGCTTTTGTATTTTTGTGTTGTTTGGATGCACAAAACTTAATATATTCAATAAAGTAGGATTTATGTTATTAATAAACTACAAATTTTAAATCTATCTTTGTGATAAATGCATAAAAATAGAAGATTTTGTTTTGTTAGTCATAAGTTTGATTCTACTTTGTTTCACACATTTAATTAATGATTGTGATGTCTGTCAAGTGTCAGTAGTCACATTTTTGTTTATTTATGTACCATCGATTTATTTGTGCAATAGGATTGTTCTAGAGACTTCATAATTTAGGGGAATAGTGTTGCACTAAGGGTGTAATAATTTTGGTGCATCACAGAAAATTTTGGATATAACTGTAAAGAACATAAAGCACAAGGCTCATTTATTATAGAAGAATGTATACTCTGAAAATTAACTTTTAAAAATATAATGTTATATGATTTAAACCAACTTTATTTAAATAACAAAAACAAAATATTGTAATGACAGCAGAAGTCATGCACGCTGGAGTTTCTAGAAGGATCGGGGAACCTCACGAATGTCCCATTATTTGCTAAATGCCCTCCTTTTTTAGTATTTAAGTCGGATATAGATTGAAGAGAAATAATTGAGATAATCAATTCAAGCAAACAGTAGGCACCATAAGTAAAGTGTGTGAATCACTGTGAATTATAGCATGTGTTTATAAAAGTAGTTAAGTTTAAAGTGACTGTGAAAATTAAGTGTATTACAAAGTTTGTAACGAGAAAGAATAAACTAGTTTTAATTGAGAAAGGACTTGTATCGCTGAAGTTTCTCGGAAATAATTTTTACAGGAAATTATCAAACAAGCAGATACATAATATTTATTTTCATGGATACACTACAGTTGGTTACATTTTTGTTCTATGTCAGTTAACATAAATAAATCTTTTTATTTTCAATATATCTATACCAAGTTCACAAGATTTATAGGAATATACTTTTCTCTACTGTCATGGATAATGAACATTCGAAACAATGTTATCAGCTAATGATTATCAGTGCAAAATAAAACCTACAAAGGAATGTTATGAATTATGATCTGGTAACTAAGGTATCCTAATATTATAGAATGTTCAAAACAAGTTGTTTTTTTAATGATCAGTACATTTTAAAGTGTAATGGCTTAAAACACATGTGTTTCAAAACAATTTTATATCATAAAATGATAATTCCAAAAATTAATTTAAAATTTGTTTTTCATCAAATAAAGGTAATTTGACAATAGGTTTAAAAAAATTATTAAATATACAATTAATATGTATTAGGTCCACCATCAAGTTGATAAATGACATTTAAACCACATTATGTTTTCTTCCCAGTATTAGTTCCCTACCCTTGTGGCTATAGAAAGTTTTGATGTCATATGATGAGCACACGGCTTAAAATCTGGAATTTTCTTGAAGGTTTAGGAAACAATTTGAATTGTATAAAAAGTGAATTAGGTTAGAATAGATAATGACTGATTAGTCAGTCAGCTTCAATAAATGTTTGGTTGTTGAGTTAATGAGTTTGTTAGTTTATCTGTTATTGTCAACCAATTAAGTCAGTTTTGTGAATATTAAGCTTGTTTTTCAGTAAGGGACTTGAGATATGAGAAGTGCACTACATACAAGAAAACTGGCGAGCAAAACTTTGTGTTAGCACCCATTGTTAACTTAACCCTATCAACATAAGTAAGCATTAATTATTCTAATTGAAAGAGTTGTTTTAGTATTACAAAAAAAATAATACAATTTTCTATCAGTAAAAGGACTGAACTAAGCACTCTTCTTTCTACTAATAATCTGAGCTTTTTTATTTGTTAAAATTGTGTCGATGAATTTTGAGGCTCCACATTGTTTTTCTTTTTTCATACCACTTTTTCTATTTAAGTTTTTACTTGAAAGATGAGTCTGATAGTATCATTTCCCCTTAATATTAAGAAAATACATATTTTATACATCTTTTGGAAAGCTACTATTTTTTCTTTGATTGTTTTTGTGAAAGCAACTTTTAACAATAGGAATTTTAGCCTAAATTGGACCCTATCAGGTGACTTGGATAGACTACTTGGTTTCGTCAGAGTTAATTCTATTTCATCTCAAACACTTGTACAGATTTAAGGCAAGCCAAAATTAAACCTTCTAAATTTTCTCCTTCCAAAAAAAAAAGACGATAATAAAAATGTTGGACACCATCTAATCACAAAACTAGTAAAATGTACAGATAGCAAAAAACTTCCAAATAAGAGGCATGAAACTTTGGCACTTTTGTTTTCACAAATAAATGTTTGTGTTAAATAGTAATTTTATGGCATCTCACAATACAAACAAAGATTTTTTTAAAACTAAATAAACAAACCATCTTCAGTATGAAAACATCATTAACAGATTAATAAATTAAAGGGTACAACAATATTACAATGAGAGGCAATCAAGTGAAGTCGTCATCACTAATGGCACTTTTGTTTTCACAAATAAATATGTTTGTGTTAAATAGTAATTTTATGGCATCTCACAATACAAACAAAGATTTTTTTAAAACTAAATAAACAAACCATCTTCAGCATGAAAACATCATTAACAGATTAATAAATTAAAGGGTACAATGAGAGGCAATCAAGTGAAGTCATCATCACTAATTTATTGCTCCGCAATCCCTTAACAAAATCTCAAGCTGTCCTGACATATTTAAGGCTTCAGTTTCATCAGCACCACCAATACACTTTCCATTAATGAATACTCTTGGAACCTAAAATTATAATGGATGACAACAGGTAAAAAGATAATAATTAATTTTAACTTTCAATCAGAACAAGCTACTGACTTAGATCAAAAATACAAGTCAACTGGTAATGAATATAGCTAATTAAATATTCTGTTCTTAAATTATTACTTACAAAGATTAGAATATATTATTTCACCATTAACAATATTTTTGGTAAAGGGATTGGCTGTTTGTGTCTATTGTATATGTAGATAGCATGAATGTTCCATTAATATTTATTTGAAGTAACTAGGTTACATACTGACATTATTGGATATAGAACAGAAAAAAAAGTTACAGTTCTGTCTTTAAAACCAACAAAGCAGGTCAACTTTCTCTATAAATAAATATTTACAAAAAATAACTAATTATAGTCATGTAAAAATTAGTATTTGTGATCGGAAGATATTCTTGTGTACAGTGACATTAACCAACATTTGTTTTTGCTGTGGTATTGTCATCAGAACTTTAAACATCACTCTTAAGGAAATAACATAAGATAATAATGAGCTCCATCTCATGTGTATCTTGAATATTTTGAATTTTCTTTTGCAACCTGTAGGCCTATTATAAGGAGAAGGATTTATAAAAATTATTTTACTTTTTTAATAATAGACTGTGCATAAAAAGCCTAACATCAATAGAATGCCCATCTCACTCTCTTAAATCTTTGGTATTCTATAATTAATATAAATTTAAAAAGGAAAGTAAGTACAAGTAATATTACCATTTTGATAACATCAATTATAATTTACTGTACACTAATAATGATATTAAGCAACAAATGTTTTGAAAATTTTATAAGAATTTCTATTTGACTTGTACCAATTGCTTTATGATGTAAAGATTATGGTTGAACTTTGTCAAAACAAAACCTTTTTACTAAGTTACAGAGATGAGTATTTTAACATCAAATGATTAAATTAATGGACTATCTTCTCTGCTTGGTGCATAAATTAATATAACAATTTTTTACATCTAAAATCCTAAGAAATGTGCACTTGAAAAAAAAAAGATAAAAAGCAGTTATAAAATGTATAATCTTTAAGCTTAACAGCCTAATTTCTTCTCAGCAAATTCAAAAACTTGTTCTAAATTTAAATTAATGCTATATACCAAAGAATTGATGAAGAAATAATGTGACAGCTAATCTACGTCACTGATGACTGCACTTTATCTTCAAACATACCAGTTACACATTAATTAACGATGTTCATGTCTGTAGATCCGAGCATAAACTAAAGGCAACATATTGTTACAAATATTTAACGAGCCGATTTAAACTTCAGCCAGACACTGTTAACCGCCATGATAGTAAAAAACGATATATATATATTATAGATCTTCCACATTATTAAAATTTAAATTAGAAAGCGGCTATTCATATTTATTTTCTGATTGCTATTTTTATTCTTTATGGGTCTAGCTAGTAGTATGAAGTCAACTTACACTGCTTGCGCCAGTAATTTCTCGAAGATACGACTGGATTTTCTGACAGTCCTCTCTATTTTCTATGTCAGTTATATCTAGAAACTCGGGAAACATATTGTATTTAAGAAAAATTTTCTTCGCGTTCTTACAGTAAGGACAGTACGACTTCGAGAATATCACCACTTTTTTTGAATTAATTTTTGATGTGACAAATGTTTTTATTTCTTCATCACTCATAGCTTCGCTCTTGCCAATAATACTTCCCATATTAGTGAAACTTTATAACCGACTCACCATCAACCACTAATTTATGCTATATATAGTCTTTTGATACTAATGTCAACACCATCTGCTAACACTGGGCGTTGTTTACTGTGAATCAAAACTGATGATAAATTCTGCCACTTTGAAAAAGTAAGTATTTTATATTTATTACTTTTAATAATAACGGAATAAAATTCTATAAACAAAACGTATTTCAGACTGGCACACACACACACACAAACATGAAGAACGAACTAGTCCAGAGGAATACTTAGGAAAAATAAAATTATTGAGCAATTCAATTTCCGAACTTCAAAAATTTGCCTTGAAATCTTTATTGAAATAAATTATTGTTGCAATGCAGTTCTTTCTTTGTGGGTTTCTTTAAATTATCAGTAGAAAATAACTGATAAAAGGCTAGTAAAAAAAATTTTGGTTTGGGGGATAAGTTAGCTAATTGAATAGAAAGGTGGCTGGATGGAAGAAAGCAGTGAGTTGTTACAAATGCAGTTCAGTCAAACTGGATTAATGTCACAAGTGAGGTACCACAGAGCTCAGACTTAGGATCTTTGTTCCTTTTGATTAAATCAGTGACATAGATGAAGGAATAGTCAATAAATTACTTAAATATGGTGATGATATTGTTGCGTCATCGAGATCACGTGACAATTCTCACGCTCTCTTGTTTCTAGAACT